CACATGGTCGACGGGGCCTCCCTCTGTCCACTGACCACGGAGAATCGGCAAAGCGGTGGATGGAGGATCGTTTGACAGAACATCACCACCAAGGAGCATCTGTGGAAATGGACTTAGGGATGTTTCAGACGCTATGTGGAGGCCGGAAAACACCACAGCCAAGGGGCAGGTGCGATCCCCACCTTCTCCAGGTGGTTTAGGCACACGCTTCCTCCAGGCCACCCTAGGCACGTGGGCTGCCAGGAGCCGGGACTCTGAGCCAGACGACGTGGGCTCCGGCGCAGCTCTGCTGCTTAATCTCTTGGCCCCTCAGTTTCCTCAAATCCAAAAGTGAATGAATTGCGAATGCTCAGCGCGGCTGTGGAGACGGTGGAGGACAGCTCCTTGCCCGAGTTCCCAGAATGGGCCCAGGAGAAGGCCAGGGCTCAGCCTCGCTTTTCTCTCCGAAGGGGGCTGGCAACACTCTGACTGCAGACAGAATTGGAGCGTGTGCGTTTGTCCTGGAGCAGGAGGGAGAATCCCAGACACCACAGGTGTGCGAGGCGGATCTGTGCCCTGAGCACGTTCGGGATCATTGTTTTGTGACGTCAGCTCTCACGACAGACCCCAGTGTGGGAGGAGGAGGCCTTGAACCCACACAACTACCTTGAACTGCGGCACAAGTGAGGGAAGAACGCCGGCGAATCACTGTTTCAGTGACGTTTTCTCCACAGTTGCATATACATAACCTTATGTTTCTGTTCCTGGAAACAGGAGATTAAAATGAAGAGAAGTTCCTCCCACTTGGATTTCTGGCCGCCAAGCACCAGCAGTCCTGAACGAGCTTCCCTGTTTGCTGGTTGACGTCTGTCGTCAGCAGCCCGTTGACACAGCACGGCGCTGGCTTCACAGTGGCCTCCATCTTCTTCGCAGTGACTTCACGTAAGAAGTGGTGGTTGAAGGCAGGACTTCTGCTTGGCATGTCTGTCAGATGTTCAGGTGTCTATGCTAGGGAAGCTGTTACCAGAACCAGTCATGTCACAAGTACTCTACCTTCGCTATGCTGGAAACCTAGAGGGCTCCTTCGAGTTCTCAGATTTGCCCAACACAAAAGCACATCTACTTTCCACCTTCATGGATTGACCTGGATCATTCACTCCAGGAATAGATGGCAGCTTACATTCCAGCTTAGATTAGGTTTTCATCATGGGTCTGTGCTATATTAATACCTAACAGACGTAAAATGAATAAAATGTTTAAACCACATTGTGACTAAATTTACATGATGCCAACGCCCCACCAAAAAAATCAGTAGAAAAACAGAGATTTGGACACAAAATGACCAGGAAGTGTTTGCCTTCCAAAGGCACTGACATTCGCCATACTGGAAGCTCTGGCCACACGAGGGGACTGAGACATTGCTTTTCTAAGATGGAATAAAGTCTAGCTTGGAATGTGCTTGTCTATGTATATTGAATTGGAGTTTTAAAACATTTTTATTTACTCTAAACCAGTGATCTAATTCTGGCAGTCCTGTTGGAAGGCATGACTCACTCTTGTTCTGTCAAGTGTCCAGGTGGTTTCTGTGCTGCCCGGTGAGGCGCATCGATGTAATAAGCCCTCTGCTGCCCCTGGCCTGTGGCAGTGGTGTCCCAAGGGGAACTCAGCAGTGACTGCGGGCATCTTTGGTAGTCATGAATGGGTGCATGCTACTGGCATCTGGTGGGCGAGGCCGAGGGATGCCACATGAGTCTCACAGTGCAGAGGATGGTCCCCATGGCAAACGGCCATCTGCCCCCACAACCAGCACTGCAGAGGCTGAGGAATCGTATCAGGAGCACGAGGCGTTTGCACTGAGTCCGGAGAAACCTCCCACAAGTTACATTCTTCATGTTTCCTGGGTGGCATCCACAATTTACGCTTTTCATAGACACATGCTGTTTAAGCACAGCTCCCAAATGGCTGGCATGTGAGCACAGAAGCAAATCACTCTCAGTGAGATTTTAATGACAAAACAATCAGCCTCTGAGTTCTGCTTCTAATCCAAATGCCAGCCAGTCAGGCGAGGTCCCCCACGCTGACCACAGGGATCTGGTCTCTCAGGGACACACAGCGGGTTTCACACAGCCACTCTGCAGACAACCTTGCCGTTATCAACGGCTGACACTCTCTTTAACTCTCCTAGCTTCCTTTCC